GGTCAGGGCGGCTAGGGTCTGGAACCAACTTCCAAGGGAGGTGGTGCAGGCTCCTACCCTGGGGGTTTTTAAGAAGAGGTTAGATGAACACCTTGCTGGGGTCGTTTGACCCCAGTACTCTTTCCTGCCATGGCAGGGGGTCGGACTAGATGATCTTCTCAGGTCCCTTCCGACCCTAGAAACTATGAAACGAAGTTATTTAAAGCACTATAGGTTGCTAAAGTGCTATAAAATACAGCACTGCAAATTTAATACTTCATTTTAACAAGGTTTAATTTAAAGCACTGGACCCATTTTTAAAGTGCTATAAAGCCATGCACTTCTGTTAAATCACAGCAATAAAATGCTTTACATGGCAAAAGAAAGCAACTTCTGTACATATCTTAGAAGCCACCTATGAAGCATCCTGTTAAAAAAGTTATGGTTTTTGTTATGACTTGTTGTGTCTGATTTACTGGGGTTTTGAATGGTGTTGCTTTTGCTTTTTCTCCCCCAGGAGGTGTTAATATAATGATGCATTTGTCTGCAAAGGCTGTGGTGCAGTTAACCTTATTTATGTTTTTAACCAGTCTTTAGAGATACAGTTTATAAATTGTGCTTGTTTTTATCCCAAACATTGTTTCAACTTTATCCCTACAAAAAATGGAGAAAGAAAAACATTTAGCTTGTCTGTCTTTAATAAATGTAGTTGAGTTTCAAATGGCAGATCTTTCAAGAGTAAGCAGATTGCAGACACATCAATATACTGCACTGTGATTTTTTTTCCCATTGAAAGTAATTTTAGATACAAAATAAACTGGTGCAGTAACTTCAGCCCCCATGTACTATAAATAGACTAATTGTGTTAGATTAAATTATATCTCTAGATACTCTTGTTCAAATTCATTAAGTTGAGTTACATAAGTGGCAACTAAATCACAGATCTGTGAGTTCAGAGCTCCCTTTTAACCCACAAAACTCTGACTTTGACCTCTAAATAGATATTGTTTAACTCTTTCTGTTAAATTTTATCTTGTTGTTTTTCACGTCTGGATGTCAGAATATACTGTTTGTAGCATGGCATACAATCCATTCTTGCCACAGTAACAAAACTCTGTACATACTGAACTACTGTAACAGAAAGCTGGTGACTCCTGTTACTTTATGAAGAAAAAACTGCGGGTAAAGAGGCCAGGCAATGGCAAAACCCTGCTGCCCAGGCAAGGGAGAGTCCCATCATGGTAAAGGGTTGCATCTGCTGCCAGTCAGGATATCTCAGCCTAGAGCTAGCTGGCTGGCAGGAAATAGGCAGCTGGAGACCTGAGGCTATGACTGCTTACTGCAGGTTTGGCAGCCCACAAATAAGCCCACAGGGCAATGCCCAACTCAAGCAGCAGGACGCTGCTAGATCAGGAGTCACAATGGCATCAGTCATTCATTAGAACCTGAGGAGAAATCCCTGCAGGTGGTTAGGGAGCCACCTGACCAGTAGGTGGCCAGGCTTGAGGCATGGCAGTCTCACTGTACAAGCTGCTGCATAAAGAGCTCTGGGTCGGGGAGGCTGCTGGGGGAATGTCAAGCTGACTTAGAGCTGCTCTCTGAACTGCTAGCTGAATACTGGTGCCTTACAAAAGGAGCACAACCTAAGTAAGGGGGAGCCTGACTGCAAGGCAGCTAGATATTGCTGTCATTGGGTATACCTATACCTAAGCTTCTGTTACAGCTTATTATTGATGGTTTGTGGAAGGGATTGTGAGGGGTCTTGGAGGTCCCATTAGTACCCTAGGGACATGTGATTGCCTTGAGTCCTGTTAGGGGTAGGCTCAAGGCATGGCCAGGGGGCCCAGTGCCTGGAGCAGGGCAGAGTTTGGGGACCGGGGTCCAAAGCCCAAGAAGGGCTAAGCCAGAGCCCAATAGGGCAAGGCTAGGGCTGAAGCCCAGAAGCTGGGTCCGAAACAGCAGATCCTGAGCTAAGCGACACAGTGAGAGAGCAGGGACAAAGGCCAAGTGGTCCAAGACCCTTACAAGGGAGTGATCTGACAGATGGATAACATCTTTGAGGCATGGGCATGGTATAAAGGGGAGGTCAGGGCCACATAATTAACCCTTAGGGCAATGAGCATGGACATAATAACTATGGGCCAATTAGCCTAACGTCTATCCCAGGGAAAATCCTGGAAAAATTCATTAAGGAGTCTATGTGTGATAGGCTTGCAGAAGGTAGGATTCTGAACGACAGCCAGCATGGCTTCATCGTGAGCAGGTCTTGTCTTCCCAACCTCATCTCCTTTTACGATCAGGTAACTCACCACCTGGATAAGAGAGAGGAGGTTGACATTGTATACCTTGACTTCTAAAAGGCCTTTGATCTGGTATCCCACAATGTTCTCACGAGAAAATTGGAGGATTGTGGGCATACCTGCAAGACAGTTACGTGGGTATGAAGCTGGCTACAGGGTAGGACCCAGAAAGTCCTAATGAATGGATCTGTGTCATCCTGGCAAGAAGTGGCCAGTGGTGTCCCACAGGGGTTGATGCTTGGTCCAGTACTTTTCAACATCTTTATCAGTTATTTGGATATGGGGGTGAAGAGCTCACTGACCAAGTTTGCGGACGACACCAAGTTATAGGGAAGTAGAGTCACACTTGAAGATAAGCTACAGATACAGGTGAATCTAGACAGGCTAGCAAGTTGGGTGAGTCAGAACCAGATTAAATTCAACATTGAGAAATGTAAAATGCTCCACCTGGGGACAAACAATCCCCTACACACCTACAGGCTTGGTTGCGCCAAACTGACGAGCACCACAAATGAAAGGGGCCTGGATGTAATAATAGACCACAGTATGAATATTAGCTGGCAGTGCAATGCTGTTGCCAGTAGGGCAAATAATACTCTGGCATGCATCAATCGATGCATCTCCAGCAAAACCAAGGAAGTTATTCTTCCCCTCTACTCAGCACTGGTGAGACCCTAAGTGGAGTACTGTGTCCAGTTCTGGATGCTGCACTTTAACAAGGACGTGGTAAAACTTTAGAGAGTCCAGAGAAGGGCCACCCATATGACTAGAGACTTGCATGGCAAGCCGTATGAGGAAAGGCTGAGGAACCTGGGACTCTTCAGCCTGAAAAAGAGAAGGCTGAGAGGGGGCTTGTTAGTGGTTTACCACTGTTCACCAGGGGACCCTTGGGGAAAAACAGGAGTAATGGCCACAAACTCCTGGAAGACCATTTCAGACTCAACTTTAGGAAAAACTTCTTCACAGTTAACATGTCCAGACTGTGGAATAAACTCCCTCCAGACGTGGTGCAATTGCCTACCCTGGAAATCTTCAAGAGGAGACTGGACAGTCACCTTGCTGCAGTCACCTGACCCCACCTGTCTTTCCTGCCCGGTGCAGGGGGCTGGATCCGATGATCTTCCAAGGTCCCTTCCAGCCTTGCAATCTATGAATCTATGGATCTGTGTTCACAAGGGGAGATCTGACGTGGGAAGCCCTGGAGTAACCTCCCTTTTTCTAAAAGACAATAAAACCAAGGCCTGGTGGGCAAGTGAAGGAGAGTGTGCAAGAACAGCTGGCTAGGCAAGGACTGAGCGGCTGCCAGGGGGTGTCACAGCCATCCCCCCCCCCCCC